TCACTTGGGAATTGCTTTGTAAAGAGGTACAGTAGGATGTTTCATCGTAATAACTGCTAGCACTAATCACCCCGTGCCTGCCCCTGTTTTGGTTTAACTAGGGGCAAATTGGGATAATAATTATTGATTATTGATAATTAGTGGACCCGTTTCCAGCCAGAAACTCCAGAGCGAGTGACGGAGAGGCTACGTGACTTCTTCCTGTGTGGTATTGTTACCCTGTGCAAAATGATGATGCAATCATGGGACACTAATGTGCTTGTGATTCCATGAATTGAGGGATATTGAGTAGCAGAGAGAGAATTCTAGTGCGTTTTTAACAGTGCTTATCTTTGTCGAGTCTCTTCAGCCCTGCCACCCTGAAACACTTTTCAGTCTTAAAAAAACGTGTGATGTCACGTCACATGCAGCTGTGGCAATAGCTTGTCAGTAGCGCGGCATTTCGATTTTGCAGTTATCATGACAGCCCCTAAAGACCACTTATGTTTGAGTGAATGGTTGAATGAAGTTTTGCTCTGTTCAAGTAAACTAACGAGTCATGACAACAAGCAAACAACAACAACAACTATTCATTACCTAGACTGCCGTATGGGACAACAGCCTCTGGCACTGAACTCTTCTCCTGACTCTCTTGCGGAGACTCCCCAGACTCTGTTTTGTGTTCTGATGGCTGTTCTGGCTGTTCTGCCTCTTCTGTGGGCTGCGGTGGAGGTGGAGGCTGAGGCTGCTCCTCTTGGAAGAGCTGAGCACTGGCAAGCTGAAACTGCTCCACAGCCTTTTCCACAGATCCCAGCTCTGTTGAGTTCATTTGTTGATTTGGTTGCTGCTGTTCCCCCGGAGCATCCTGGGACGCATCTGAGTCCTCAGGCAAAATGTTGGTGAGTGGTTCTGGAGCAACCTGGTCCATGGACCAGGGAGCAGCTTGTCCTAGAACAGGAAGGTCAGGAAGAAAGGCATCCCCATTGCTCTCCATGGCAGGGGACTCAGTGTCCAGCATTCCAGTAATGGTGTCTTCTGAGAGATGCGGGCCTGTTGAAAAGCAGGTTGGATTATCACCAGAGCAAAAACACCAAATATTCCCTGGGTTGGGATTTCTTTGCCATATATGAAAGTCAATCTGAAATCTTTAGGTGTTGGTCAGAAAAAACAAGGTAATCACAGACATCACAGTTGGGCTTGGGGGAATTGAAATTTGCATTTTTTTGTGGACTAAACAACTAGTTAAGGCTAATTAAGAAAATGATTGGCAGATTAAGCAATAATAAAAATACAAATACAAGTCTAGTAGAATTATAGTAAAGTATTAGGCTGTCTAGAAAAGCTAAAAAGTTACTTTTCTAGCTGTACAATGAGCCAATATTAACAACTTGGACTTCATTGAGACAGACAGTGTACATACTTTCATTTATAGTCTTTTATTTTCTATCATATAATGTTTTATTTTGTGATATCTTGTTGTACCTCCACTTCTGTACTCTCTCTTTGCACTACATTCCCCTATGCTCCTGCGTCAATTTTGAATTTCTCCTAAAGGGGATAAAGAAAAAGGTACATAATCTTATCTTAGACTATTGATCACTTCAAACCTTCACAGATAATAACTTGTTTGGTAGCATGCTTCACTTTCTAGCATCCAAAAGCAAACCGATTTCACAACTTCCTAGTTCAAAACTTAATTAATAATTATCTTCAAAAGTGGTACGTCAACTGTGCTGCTCCGTACTTTAAGTTGCGATATCTCATATTGATATTTTCAAACGTTAACTATCTTTACAACCAAAAAAGGTCAGAAGCAGCCGCAGCTGGCGCTAAAGACACTTCCTTGTTCTAACATTAAAACAGACGCCAGCTTTAGCTTAAACACTTGCGTTAGCTACTAAAAATAATGCGTCCACGTGATCGCTTCCTTAGTTAAATAACACTACGCATGACTGCTAAACTTCACGTTACGTGTTCTATCAAAATCGATAAATGTTGACTTTAACTTTAGCAATGTTTGCTTTTTAGAGGCCATGTTTCACCCGGGAGGTTGTTTGCATAGTCAAAGTTCAATTAGAAGTTGGGCCTTGAGTCCTATCTATTTCCTGAGAAGTATCTCTAAGGTGACCAGTGGTTGACGTGAGCTTCACACTCGTTTAGTAACGTGAACTCAAATATAAGCTTTTAGTCGGTAAACTACAATTGTGATCTTACCAGGGCTCTGCATTGTAATAACAACCGACAACCTTTTAATCCCGCTCACCTTTTTCTACCTTAGAACAACTACAACGTGCTGAGCATTTGACTTCGTCTCCAGTTGATAGTCGGTGCCAGCGGCTTCCCCACGTTAGCTAGCCGGCTAACGTGGGCAGCTTCACTAACGTTAGCGCGTTAGCTGGCTATATAATCACCACAATTTTAGCCACATTACAAGAATTTCGTGAGTAAAGATGCGTTTCGGGGCCTTACCAGTATTTTCCATCAAATTTTGGTCAACTTCAACGAAACTTGTGTGCAGCTTTCGAAGTCCCTTGATCTAACCTACAGTCGACAGGCGCGCTTCGCCCACCATTCTTGAGGAAGAGCCGAGGCACCGTGTGCGCATGCTCAGTAGAGCGCCCGCCCGTGGGGGGGGGGGGGGGGGGGGG